GAAGAAGCTTCTCGGATGAAGGTGAAACGTCTTCAAGCAACTTAAAGAAGTCCAGACGCTTTTCTTTCCAAGCTCCTTTGATCTTTCCATTTGTTTTTCTATTATTTAAATGATTCTAATTATTCAAATGGTATCACTCATAGAAGTGTAATCTTGGCAATGACTGATCAACAAAGAAAAGAAAGATAAAAACTGGAACTCTCAATCCCAAAAAACAAATGAATAATTAAAAGAAACTGAACCAGACTGAATCTAGTCAAACGAACTCTTACTGAACCTCATATCAGGACTTTCAGTTGTACTGCGAACATGAATTTGTGTCCTAAACTCAGTCCAAACTTAATCTCGTGTGCACATGCATGCGTGAAAGATTAAATGTGGTCTTACTGTCTTTCCTGGTTATAAGCTGAGCAGCCGTCCTCTCCTTGTGCTGCTGCAGCAGCTCCAAGATTACTGTCCAAGATTCCCTCAGCCTGATATATTTCATCTGAAAAACACACAAACACACATGTGAGCAGTTTCCTTATTGTTGATAACAACGACGTCACAGGTCAGTGTCCAAGCATCAAATGCTGGAAGAAGTATATATATTTGAGTCTTGTTACATTTCTTCAAAAAGTAACTATTCATTTATAATATTTAAGGTAAAGGTAGAAGTGAGACAAGTCAGTGTTTTAATGATTTCATGCCATGTGATTCACCTGCGTTTAATTTCCTCACCTTGCCAGGTTGCTCAAGAGGAGAGTCCCTGTATAACTGATCAGCTTTCTCCAACACACACTCCACGTCTGGCTGCTTGACTTTCACTTCGTTAATGAGCTGCAGAATCAGAGAGCTTAAACTGCAATAAGCCTCGGACAGATGAGTGTATTGCATGTAATATAATAAATAATATATTGGATGTAATATATGCAATGTATTATTAATTTCAGGCAGTTTGGGCTTGAATGTTTTACTAGTAAATGCCATGATGCACTGATACATGCATGCATATACACAGTGTTTTGCACCATACCCTGGCAGATGGTCCCTCAGGGCTGTGCTCCAGCTTGGCTCTGGTGCTGGACACCCAGACTGACAGGTCATCCAGATGACTCTCACACTTCTCCATCTCCTTCAGCAGACCCTCGATCTCCAGCTGACGTTCAGGAAGAGCCGTTGACACCTAAATGAAGATTGGCCATGAAACCACTCCCACCGTGTTGACCCATTTTTCAACATATTTATTACGACGGGGGAGGTGAGGTGGTGATAATCTGGTCTGTAGTAAACACAGTATAAGAATGGTTTTCCAGCGTCTTTCTGGTAAAGATTAAAGCTCAGCTCCTTTGGTAAATTAAACTCTGTCTGGAGCAAATTCAACTAAATCTAAGAGAATCTTTCACAGCTTTTCTACACAATTACGGAGCCCCACAGGGGACATGGGAGAAAAAAAATTTTTTGCAAATTTTGCGAGATCCCGAGTTTGTTTTGCGAGATCCTGAGTTTGTTTTGCGAGATCTCGAGTTTGTTTTGCGAGATCTCGAGTTTGTTTTGCGAGATCCCGAGTTTGTTTTGCGAGATCCCGAGTTTGTTTTGCGAGATCCCGAGTTTGTTTTGCGAGATC